TTCTTGAAGATATTTTAAGGCTTCAGGTTTGTTTGTATAATGTTTTAAAAATTCATTCCATTTAGTTATGAATTCTTGTTCAGTGCCGGATACCATTACCACTTGCCACATTTTTAAAAATTTGGTCCAACTCTCTTCTGTGATAAAATAGTGCTTACATTTTACTAAAATGTTTTTATTTATGTGCCACATATATAGGACATTATGAGTATAAGGAAAAACTTTTTCAGCAGCTCTCATTAGTGCTAATTTCCGATCTGTAATAATAATATTGGAATGAGATAATTCATTAAAAATTTTTGCAACACAAGTCAGGGCTCACTCATAATCTTTTTCTGTTTCATCATGTAGAAAAGCAAAACAAGAAAAAAAAGTGGTGTTGAAACTCGATACACCCACAACATTCATCAAGGGCATTTTATATTGATTCGTCTTATACGTGCAGTCAATCAGTAATATAGTAGAGTAGGTACAAGTTAAAGCTATAAAGACTCTGTGTGCAAAAAAGAGATGAGTTATACGGTTTTGCTGATCGTATTGATACTCAAACTCGAAATCTGATCCTTGTAATTCATCGAAAAGGGCTTGGACTGGTGTACGACTATCAAGCCTTTCTTGACGAATAGATTGCAGGGTGTTGTAGACTGTCTTAGATATAACTATTAAAGATAGATCATTTTGATGTATAGTAGATAAAATTTGATGGGAATGAGAACCAGCAGCAGCCATTTGCTTAACTATCACCTTTTGCTCAACATTTAACCTTCTAACTGTCAGATGCCTAGACATGTTTGTTGATGCTTCATAGTTTTTATGTTCAGGGTTTATAATTTCAAGGTACCAAACATTACTACGTCTGGTTCCAAAAAGTTCAAATGAACAGTCCACAAGTCTTGATGCAGTTTTTCTACAGCGAGTATTGTTTGTCAAGTTTAAACTGTTTTTATAGAGGCTGTTTCTGTTACATACCAATGTTACATTTTTTGTTTCACCTTTTCTGTCTTTTCGCAACTTCTTTATAAATATAGCGTATCCTTGAGTTTTAGCGAAGGTCCGAACATATTCAAGAAGTTCATGATGACTTGTGAATAATTCATTAGTTGGAGGTGAATCTATATGAAGTATATAATTTTGTGTTTGATAGATGATTATTATAATTATTAAATGTTTATTAAACCACTTTTTTTTTTACTTTTGTTGTAGTTTTGCTAACAGTTTTTTTTTTTTTTTATAGTTTTATTAACCAGTTTTTGTATTTGGTTTAAATTTTATAAGATATTAACAAAGTAGATAATTTTTTGATTTTTAAATTTCAGTTTTAGGAGCAAAAGAAGTAAAAAGAGAGACCGTGAGACCATTTGTTGTTTTACACTATATTTATTTGTCCAATTCATTACATCATAAACACATCATTACATCGATTACATATAATCTTACTGTAGTTTCAGTGCAGATCGCTAGGAATTCAATATATGATAGTCGATTTGAATATACAAGTATTTAACTAAGGCTTACGCGATTTATATTTTTCTATTATTAAGCAAATTAATATTTATATGCCTTAGAGTAGGATTGTGTGTTTGACTAAGATTATTAATACTATCAAGGTTCTGATACTTTTATCAGTATTAAAACATTATCGGCTTGGGTTAGCTAAAATAACATAACTGAAGATTAATTAACGCTTCTAATTACAATGCAGCAGCTAAGCCATTACATAGATCATTACTTGAATAATGGTTTAAACTATAATTAGAACTATGATTTTTATGTTAAATTCAAAATAAATATAACGATGATTGGAGCTAATGTTATAACTGAGAATCGCATATTTTATTAACAAACTATTACAATATCTGATGCACTTCTAAACATTAATAACTTCATAGTAACCGGTCCCTTTTTATAGTGTTGGTATGCCAACTATTGGTATACAATGTTTTTACAATGTAATTTATATGTACGTACTTTTAACAGATTTTGTCATTAGGTTAAGGTTCAAAGATAACACAAACAAAATTTTTTTAATTATGATTCTCAGGTCCGCATTATAGGATGACATTCGTCTGATTTGTAGATCTATCTATGAGAAAACGAAAAAAACTTTAAAAATGGATGGATGATGTGTAAAATGATATTTATTACTAATAAATCTAAGCTCAAATACGATCAAAAACCCAATATACGAATAAATTACTGTATTATATAACGAAGCTATCTTTTAGTCTTTATTTATTACATCGTGAAAGTAATTATAAAATAATTCTATCCAAGTTTTCATCATCGCGACCTTTATTAGACATGATGTGACCCTTAGCTTATATAATTAATGAAATGATTACACTACATTGATCTACTTAACCCAAAGTCATATTTAATAATCTAGTAATATTATTCTATAATATCCAGAATACAGTAAGCATTAGTACAAGCCTATTGTCGGTATAATATATAGTATAAACATCATACTCAAAGTTCTTTAAATTTAAAGCTTATATGTAATGCTTAATCGTTTTTTGTTGTCCGTTTTTGGCATTTAAAACATATATGCATATATATAGTTACATAACATAACTAGTATCAGCAGTATATAGTAAAAATGTATGTTCGTTTAGAGCTAGAATTTGCTTTTATAGCGATTTTTTTCATTACACTCCTAAAAAGTACTTAAATAAATTATCAGGCAATTGATCTATATCAGCTGATCAGGTGAATGTTAGGTGAATATTGATCTGAAAAATATTATACTGGTTATGTGATACCGTTTTGTGCTACTTAAAATTTTTGGGCCAATTGGCAAGTGATGCATATCATGTGACACCCACTTCAACTCCGGAATCATGTGATACAGACCGGACATCAGCTCCAATCTTATGGGGGTAGCATTAGCAAAAGTGGAGGGTGAAAATAGCAATTCTCTATATTTAATATATTTTCTTTTAAATTTTATTATATTATTTATATTATTATAATATATTTTATAGTATTATTAGTTTATTTATATAGTTTATAATATATTTTATTTATTTTAGTTGCTCAAATAATAGT